TTTCAACAAGTGGCATTATTGTCACTCTATCCCTGAGTTTTTCATGGGGCAGCACTATATAAATTGCAAGGTGTTATTCAATGGATAGTTGTTACTACAAAAACACTTGCATAAAAAATTTGGGTGCTACAAAGCAAACAAGTTTCAGACCATATCTCATAGTAAAGCATGTACAATTAAGTGCAGAAATGTCTCTGATGTCTGATCTTGAAAGCATGGCACAAGGTTATGAATGGTAACTTACAAAGAAGGGGAGATCCCTGGAGTCACCATCTTTGATTATTTGTGATACCCACTTAATGACCTGCAGATAGAATATAATAAGATGGGACATGAGAAAAGCATAATATTGAGTAACAGATGGAGAAATTAATTTATGCCATGGTTTGTGACTTTGTTTTGATCAGCAAGAAAAATTTATTTTATTAATTGAAAAGAGAGACTAGTACAAAGTGATGAATAGACCGCCAACCCAAACAACTAAAACAATTACAGTGAAGCCCAAAAGAGTTGCTGTCTCATGACCCCCTGTTTAGCAAGGGTATCAGCCATCTCATTTGCAGTCCAACCCACTTAAATTCAGCATTTAGTTCCTTGGAGATACTTTCTACTTCTCTGAAGGCATGCCTGCTGAAAGTCCACAGAACATGACTACTACATCTTGCTCATGAAGTAAACAATCTTAGAATCTTCTTCTGCCTCCACCTGTCAGTATCCCAGTTGCTTTGCTAATCAAAGTCCTTGCAACAGTGCACACAGTTCTGCTTTCAGAGAGTTTCCAACTCCAATAGGTCATGAATATAACACCACCACCCCGTCTTCAGAATTTCTGAAGACACCTCCTATTCCTGCCAATCCCGGATTGCCCATGGTTTGTAACTTGCTCATCAGTCACAGATATACATTTATGTTTCTAGGAAAATATGAATAAATAAAACTTCAATACCATTGCTCAGTTTCTAAATTATGAAATATAACCAATTAGCTCTGGATATCAGTTATTCAAAACAGAAAGAGAATATGATCCATAAGAGTTTATGCTTAAACCTTATTACAAATATAGCTTTGTTCTGTGGGGTCAGTTTGGAAAGAGTATAAATATAAATATGTAGAGTACAAAACCTTGTACTTTGTATATATTTGTATTGTACATATTTATATTTGTACTTTTTCCAAACCGAGTCATGGTAGAAAAAAAGAAGAGATGCAATAATGTAACTGCCAAAAGGAAAAGGAAAAAAATCTTGATAGGATGATAAATGGGTATTGCATTGTATTTTTCCTATCAAGTTTGTTGAACTTGCATCCTTATCTCTGATATCCAGTGAGATTAGAAACAAAAGACACTAAAAAGTTAGTTGGGAGTGTAACTGATATGTTACAAAAATATAATTATCAAATTGCTAGTTATCAGCAGTAATGTAACAAGCTTGCATTCTAAATGGTGAAAAGCAAACCATTTTTGAATAATTGCATTTCATACCTGTGGAATATCCCCTGAATCATTATATCTTGCCACTAGCTGTGATGCTGGATCCACATCGTTGTCTTGAAGTGTATCCCAAATGGTTCTAGGTTTCCTCTCAACCTTTATATCAGCCTCTGTAGAATTTCTTTTGTAACGCACAATAAATAATTGAGGTACATCATTAGGATCCCTTCTTGGACCACAGGTTTCATAGCTATTTTCTGAATGGAGGTAGAAAAAACAATATCCCTGGATCAACAGAAAATGTTAGTGGATTAACATTAGCCGATCATTTTATATTAAAGAAATGCAATGTTTCAGATAATGCTAGAATGAGCACTTATACATGAAATTCCTTCAGTGTGTCAGGGTGATGGAAAATATAATACAAGGAAAAAGACCTTTCACTTCAACAACCAAAAACAGTTTGCAAAGGTGCCCCTGAGGTGGCGGCACCTACAAAATAAAAATTGCCGGAGGAAGGAGGTGCTAAACAAGGTGCTTGTCTCAGTCAAACAAGACAAAAGGTCTTGCAACAAAACATTTTGTATCAATAAATTTTGTTGGTGACATTATAAAAAAACAACAATGGCAACAAAACATTTCGGAATATGCAGGAGAAGGGAGTAGAAGAAAAGGTAAGGGGGGTAAGATCATCAGGGGTTAAGATGAAAATCCTGAGCTGGAATGTAAGGGGGTTGGGTGGAGAAATAAAGAGAAGCTTAGTAAAAGATACTTTCCGAAGAGAGAATCCTGACATTATTCTGATTCAAGAAACCAAAAAGGAAGAGGTGGACAGAAAGTTAATCAGAGCAATCTGGGGTTTAAGAGGCAGAAAATGGGCTAC